CCATCAGACAAGCGTTCCGACCTACGTTGTATTAACAGCCAAAGCTAACCTGTCTCTCCTTACTCGAGTGTTTATTCGTCGAAGAATATCCTTCTGATACGCCTCAATAAAGTTGTATTTGGTTCTGAAAAAATTTTGCTCATATACTTTATAGCCCTCGTATTCCTCATCGACAGCAGATATATTGTTCAAGTAATCCGGATAACCAATTTTTCGGTTCATAGCTGTTACCTGCATCAGCGTTATTAGTGTTATTAACTTCTGATGATGACAAAAACAATATAGATTTGCTAAATATTTTCTGGCTTTACATTTGCCGAGATTAGTGTCATCCTTTTCAGTATCAAAAGGTCTCAAAACTCAATAAAGATATGAATTTCAATCAGTTATTTAAAGAATCTTAATCCATTTAACCTTTTCTTGAGCAAATTTTTTTGTTTCTTTTGAAATCCACTCTTCAGACTGAAGCATCTCTGAAAATGCTTGCATAATTAGTTCGATCATTTCTTCAACCTGAAATATATTAGTGATAAAAACTTCTTCTAATATGACTAATAAGCACATTACAATGGAAGCAATACTTTTCCAAAGTTTAATTCAAGATGCAATTTTCTTTTCAAACTTCAAACATCTTTTCTTTTCTTTTCTTTTCAAACTTCAAACATATAAATTGCTCTTGAAACACGGCTGAATTCAGAAAGTGAGTATAAACAGTAACAAAATTAAAAATTAACCTGTTTTTTGGCTTCATGATCAAAGTAACGTTTTACGTACATGCTCGATGTAGCCATTTGCATAAGGTAGTTAATTCGAGTAACGCAATTATGCCATCGTAGTTTAGGAATTTGCATATCTTAATTTTTTAGCTATTGCAAAATTAGTTTCAAGTGGTGGATATCAAAACTTAAATATATTTAGTTCCAGTATATCTTCATTGTTATCTTCATTAAATTAGTGCTAGTAATGAAAAATTCAAATACTGAATACTACTCATTAAACAGTTAGACAAATTTTTTTTTGTTTTTAATTTACTTTACAGAGTAAAAGCAAAATAAATTTTCTCGAGATTTATAAAGTAAAACTAACAGCTCAGAGCACGGTAAAACTTTAGAACAGCCATTGCAAATGGGTCTGGCAGGTCACGAAGCATATTCTTGAAAAACCATGACCAGGACAGGTAGTTCAGTACAGTTCTACAATACAAAAATATCAAAAAAAAAATGGTTGCAGTCTAGGGGGTTTAATGTTTTTTTATCTTTTAACTTTTACTTCAAGCCACCTATAATTTAGCTTATTTTACAGTAATATAAAAAATCAAAACAGCTATTACTCATATTAAAAAGAAAAAAGCTCACTTTTGCAACAACAAAAAATATTTTTCAAGATGATTAAATTACGCCAACATTTATAAACCATTAATGTACCTTTTCGGAAACTGTGACATCAGTGTATTGAAATTGACAAAAAATTCTTCGCCGTATAAAACAACATCTGTTGATTTTTCAATTACAATTTTAGTGCCGTTTTCGTATGCAATGTTTCTGAAATACTCTTGCCTGTTGCCAGCTAAGAGCAAAAGTTAGCGCGACTTTTCAAAAATAAAAATGAGAGGTTATGAAACATACAAATTTTGCTTTTTCGTTACACGTTTCAAAAATTGCGCAAATTTATTGTAAGCTTTTCTTGAGAAACAAACTTAATTTAATCTGTAACTGCAATTAATACTGCTTGAAATTAAACACCCACTGAAATAAAGTGTTGAAAAATAAGGTCCAGTTGAAGAACTTGTATTTCTGGGTCAGTTCTTCAACTGTCGACTTGCTGTATAAGGATCCTACGTCATGACGGTTTCCGTCAGGTATAGTAATCTAAATTTCAGGAACATTGTAACCAAAATAGATAAAAAAAAATTTGTCTACATTAATTTAGTAGGTAAAGGTTTTATAAATTTACGCTCTGCTGACTTTTGAATATTATTCTTTTTTTTTGCATTACTTTATCACTTTTTCAATTTCCAGTTAAAAATCATTCTAACAGCTTCTTTCACCCTTTCTCAATAAAAGTACAAATCTTAGTCTTTTTGTGGCTTTCGTCGCATTTGTAAAACCAACATTTCTGACTTAAGTCATCGCTTTTGACAGCTTTTATCACAAATACTCTAAGCCTACCTTTAGCCACTCATTGCTTTCTTATTCCTACACAGATTACAACGCCTCGTTGGTTCTGCCAACCCCGTCCCACTCCGCTTCCAACCCTTTTACCATTCTCACGGGACCGACATTGCCCATTATGAGAAGCACTACTTTTATATAGTTTTATCTAGCTTTTTCATCAATCTATTTTGTGAGAAAAATTTCATAAAAGTGAACCTAGCAAACTTTAACTGTCTTTTATTAAACCTTTTATCATCAGAAAAAACCCAATCCTTCAGTATTAACATTAGCTAATTCTTCGCACCAAAAATTATTCATCTTTTGAACGTTCACAAAGTCATTACTAAAAATACCAAAATGTTATAAAAGGTAATTTAGAGAAAAAGCTGAAAATTTGTTGCTTATACCGATTAACTTAGGTTAATTTACAGGTTAATTTAATTTAGTCACTACATCAGCAAACGAACAAAAATTAGTGTAATAAAAGTTTACATTGGATAACTGTGTTTCAAATTCCAGTAGGCTATTCACGTCATCTTCAATAACTTGTGGATTAACATCAAAAATTTTAAGCACATCTTTGATCAGTGTTACATATGCTTGTCTTTCGTCACTATCAACACCATAAGCTTTTGAGCTTTGTAGAAGCATTGTCGGTTGATCGATCTATAAGATACACAGTGTAAACCTATCATTTGCATTCACAATTATCCTTTGCAAAAAAAAAAAACCTCTTTTTTTTCAAAATATCGATTGTTTCAATACACCAATAAAAAAGTCAAAAAAAAACGAAAGATAATAATACTAGCAATACATGTAGCACTTATCTCTTTTTATTTTCCGCCTTACTATACTTCTACTTTACGACC